GTCTTGGGCGGGGGGAAAAAATGGACACATATGTAATATCCTTTGTAATAAATAATAAAATTAAAAAAAAAAGAATCACTGCAGAATGAATAGGCATCACAAAAAAAAAAAAATTTCTCTCTTAAGGAAATGATCTGTGTAGTTCTTGCTCGTATGCCCCTTGACCTCCTTGAGTTTTCACAAGCCTTTCCATATCATATTTACAGCATATATTTTCAATAACAGAAGAGTTTGCCCACTGCACAATTTAATGGTAAAGTTGGTTCTAGGAGCCAAATCCTGTGAGAGGGTGAAGGCATACATTCCAACAGCCATACCACCTGTGTTTACATTCTGGATCAGCTGCTTCCTACTTGCCTGACTTGGGACTAGTGACTGGATATCTCCGGGTCTCAGAGGCAATAAGCAGAGACACCTTGCAGGATTGACAATGAGCTATTAGGATTCGGACAGAGCCTGGCACAGAGTGAGTTCTAAATTAAGCTATTATTAATAGCAGCAATCTTTTCACCACATCATATTGTCTACCTTCTTTCCCAGTAACAAACACACAACTCAAAACAAGAAGTGTCTAAACACTTCTCTATTGTACAGTTTTGTCAGATACACCATTTAGAAGTGATTCATAGTGACAAGCTGGTGGCAGGCTTGATGAATCATACAGAGCTGTTATGGGGATTCGCTGTGGTAACCAAAATTATTTCCCCCAACTTCTTTTTGGCTATGTAACACTCTCTAATTTCTCTTAATTCTATATGAACCAATCTTAACAGGAATTTTCAGGAAATTAAGGGCTTACAATTACATTTCATTAATGACTTGCAATGTAGATTAAATGATATTATACATTTGAAAAGTGTTTTCTATGAAATATAAATCAAGGAAAGTTTGTAATGAGGTGTTTGATGAAATTTAAAACAACAAATTTATGTGAAAAGGAGAGAGAAGTTAGCCAGACAAATGCAACTTCTGTTCCTGCAGCCTATATATTTATTGGTTCTCCCTTTTTTTTTTTTTGTTTTGGTTCTCCCTTTCTTGTAAATATGTTCTACAAATTTAATAGTCCTGGGGTGATATTAATCAAATCTGTTAATATGTTAAACTTATTTCCTGGTCCTGGCTCGGTGGCTCAATAGGTTGGAGGGTCATCCTGTATACCAAAAGGCTGAGGGTTCAATCCCCGGTCTGGGCATGTACAGGAGGCAGCCAATTGATGTTTCTCTTACACACTGGTATCTCTCTCTCCCTCTAAAAAGTCAATAAAAACACAGGGTGTCCCCTCAAAATGTATACAGACTTTAATAGCTATAGCTCAATTTTGAAAATGAAATGTATTTTCATAAACATTGGTTTTATAATTACTCTAAGTGGGTGGTGATTAAATTTTTTTAAAATTTATTTTCCACAATTCCCAGAAATTGGTATGTTCTAGCAGTCAAACTCCAATCCAGTGATGATATGCCAACTTCTCATTTTTCTAGACTTGCTTTGCTTTGATTTTTACTTGAAAACCTTTACAAAATGCTAACATCCTCAACAACCATTATGATCTGCTCTAAGAAACCAAATATTCCCAGGGATTAATTAGTAGCCATGGAAAAGGAAGGCTGACTCAGAGGCATTTTTCAATCTTTGTATACCATAGACTGTTTGGGAAATAAGCCAGAGAAAGGAATGGTATGGCTCATAAACTTTAAGGGGAAGACAGCAAAGAAACTCACGGTCCATAAATTCAAGAGTGAAAAATGGTGTACAAATGTAGACACAAACACAGGCTTGCAAAACAAGATGGAGACACGCCTCTAAAGAAACTGCTGCGTGTGCCACCTCGAAGCATCGTCCACGTGAACTATCAAAGCGCAATCACCATTATTAGGAGATCCAACTCCAAGAGGAGTTGGCTTCCGTGATTTGGCCTAAGGCACAGCTCCCTGGAGGCTGCCAGGATACAGACTAGTAACACTTCTAGGCATTTATTTAGGAAACAGCCAACAGCCCTACCTTCCTCTTCATTTAACAGACGGCGAGCTCAAAAAAAGGGCACTGTTTTAAAAAGCTGTTTCATTTGTCTCGTGCCTGTTTTGTAGAAGACATTAAGCAGATGCATCCTAGGAAAAGGTCACTGTCCTTTCTTAGGTCTTATCTTTCGGCGTATTTAGAACAAATATTCATCTGGGAATGAGTATTAGCTTATTGGTAAACTTTCTTATTACCATTCGACTAGGTGAGCCTATATATTTTTTAACCTCGAGAATAGCACTTTTATCTTTGAACTTCAGTCAACTCTTCCTTGGATCTGAAAAAGCATTCATGTACTCAATAGTTCTAGGCACCTACTATGTGCAAGGACGGTGCTGGACATTGGGGATGCTGCAGGCAGTGAGACAGTGTTCTGACTCCCACTGGACCGTCCATTCTCATTAGGAAGAAAAACATTAAGTGACTCATTAACAACTGAGTGGTTCTGGTGGGGAAACTGCGGGGACAGGCAGGCTTGCTATGAAAGCACGTAAGTGGACAGAGAGAGTGGGGTCTGCGACTAAAGGAGGGTTCTGGCTGGAGTGTGCGTGAAAGGCAAGGTCCTGGAGGGCCCATGACCCAAGGACACAGGGCGGAGTGCGGACAGCTGGGAACAGCTCCCACAAGAGGAGGAAAAGCGTTAGGGTAAAGCCCTCTGGAAACCTGACGGCTGATTCATTCCCCCAAGTTCTTTCTAGGAATAGGTTCCCATCATCTCCCAAGTCAAAACCCTTGCTCGCCCTTCACTGCACAAAGAATAAAAGCGTGTACATTTCACATTTGCTACACTGGGCAAGCAGGAGCAGGCCGTCAGCAGAGAAATGACCTCAATGAAGGGGTTTGTTTCTTCAAGGTCTGTTTGGTTTCTCTAACCTGGGAGAATGAGGAGAGGAGGCCTGTGTGTTGAGAAGTTCCAACAGAACGTTCAGCTTTCTCCCCTGGCTAATGAAATGATTTGTGGCTCCCACACAGCTTTAGACTGGTCAGAACATTCTGACCAGAAGTGTCTCAATTTCAGTTGTTTGTGAAATGACATCTCGCTGGGAGGGGCCCAGGGCAGTGGTTTCTGCTCTGAAGAACAGGGACCTGGGCGTGGGGAGGCCTGATCACAAGCTGGGCCACCAAGGCTGAGATTTCTCCCATTTGCTGCGGTGCCCCCAGCTCAGGTCTAGGCCCCAGCACTGCCAGGAGTAGGGGGAGGGGCCAGCAGTCCTGGGTGGTCCCTGTAAAGAGTGGTGGGCCAGTGAGTGATGGAATAGACAGCTTGTATGTAGGATTTCCACGGTGATGTTTCAGGCCACCAACATGAACTCCCTGCTGGTGGAACTGGGCAGACGTGGTAGCAAGCGGCTCCCCTAAGCCCACGCAAGGGGCTCTAGCACACCGCCCACCCCCACCCCCCATCACAAGGAAAAGGAACGAATGCCCAAGTTGTGGAAGTCTCCTGTGGCTACCAGGAGCTGTAGGACAACTGCTGAGCAAGGAAATGGGTAACTGGTGCCCCTTCCTTCTCTGTTAAGAACACCCACACATCGGCTTTATTAAAGAAATGTGACATCTGGGGTACTCAGTGCAGTTGTAACGTGGCTGGGCTGGGGAAAAATGAATCAGGCTGCTGGAAATTACTCCAGCAGCTCCAAAGGGCACGCACGGCCCTCGGCTCCTCTCTCTTTTCAGATTCTTA